AATCTTCTCACTGTGGAACACCCATACCAAGACACCGAATAACTTCTCACTGTAACTTTATCACTCACTCTATAAGAAGATTTCTAAAAGTTCATGGAAAAATAGAATTAAAGTACTAGATTAACGTGGTGCAGGAAAAAAATAGAAATTCCTGCATTTTAAAACACATATTTTTAAAAATACACGTTTCCCATAAACTTCTTTTAAAAGATTTTTGCTACAGGTGCGTATGTTCACTGGAGACACAGAGACAGAGACAGGAAGCAAGAAATCACCCCCCAGGGGGGATGGCCACACCACAATCCCTTCTCTGTTGTTCTCTTAGGATTTGGGGCATGCATGCACATGCACTCGGTGTGAGTTTTAAGCCACTGGGTCCAGGACTCAAACTGTGGTCAATTACACGGGAGTCCAGTGACATAATCATTACACCATTTGCTGGTCCCCTCAAGAACTTTTTATTTATTTTTTATTTATTCATTCATTTATTTTAATTTGATCAGAGAGACAGAGAAAGAAGGAGAGAGTGCGAAAGCAAGCCACCAGGTTCAGGACTTGAACCATGGTTGTCATGTGGGAGTGACTAGCGCCTTAACCGCCATGTCACCTGCTGGACCCCATGAACTTTTTAAAGGCCTTCAAATTTTAAATTACCTTTCCCACCCCTGTACTTCTTACTGCTCGAAAGCTTTATTCTCTCCCATTGCCCCATCAGCACACGACATACTATACTTCTGCTTACTCGTGGACAGCCTCTGCCAACTAGAATGCCAGTACCCACGGCAGGATTTCCGTCTCTCTTGTTGACTGCTATGTCCCCAGCACTCAGAGCAGTGCCTGGCACACAGAGTTCAATAACGACTTGTGGAATAAATAAATGATTCCAAGTTTGAAAAACAAAGCTGGTACCTCTCAAATAATTATTTAATGAACATCAAAAATGGAAAACTAGAGCCAGCATGTAGCCTAGTGGTTAGGGTAGCTGGATCCCACATGGCTTGCTGCGGTTCAAATTCTGGCCTTGAAAAATGTGCCCAGCGTGTATGTATGCTTGCCTCAAATTCCAACAGGATGGGTAAATGGAGGAAAAGGATTGTGGCATGACCACACTGGGTGTTCTCTCTCTCTCTCTCTCTCTCTCTGTCTCTCTCTCTCTCTGTCTCATTCTAGCAAATACATGCAGTCTCTAGCAATTAAATTAAAAAAAAAAACCAGAAAACTCTATGTGATGTTATCAAATATAAACAGTACAAAATCATGATCTTTGCTTTCAGTAAGAGAAACAACACTTAACTGCATGGACTAATCAATTACTAACATAGTCAGTATTAGGTCTGACTAATAATGAACTGGGTTTATTTGTACATGACTCACAGAATCAGCCTTGGTATTCTTGATTATACTTACTACATAATTAAATGCTAAACTGAATAGTAAAAGCTTTTCATACAGGTTCAGGAGGAGGGGAATGGGGTCAGGAGCAGGAAGAGTCTATGGGGGGAGACAAGGTTCAGTGTGGGCTTTGTGGACGTGAGGACATGCCTTGGCGGTGCACAACGTGGGCAATCCCAATGAAGCGGTGCTGTGGGAAGGCACGTGGCCTATAAGGCCTGGGGAGAAGCCTACTGTAAGTGGGAACGGGCATTCCACAGTGAGTCGTGAACTAGGCAGGACAATTGGAGTGGCACCAGGTTACAGAGAGAGCTCCCGGAGCAATGTCGGTGGCACCCGGTCTGGTTTCCTGGCAGCCTTCTATTGGTGTGGTACCCTCAGCCCCGTGGTTCCTTATTACTACTCATGGTTCATAAGCTACTTTCTGTGACAGCAACAGAAACTGCTTCCTGGACCTCTTCTGGGAGCCCTCACACACACACCTCTTCCTGGACGCTGGTAACTAACAAATGCAGGGGTGGGGTACTAAGTCCAGCTCTGTGGCCTCGGGGCAAGACAGAACCTGTGGTGCAGTTTTATTTCCAAGTTCCCTGATGGATCAAGTGAAGCATAACATCCCCTGAAATCAGATCTTTGCTCATCTTAAGTTTCTTGGGCTTCCCAATCCCGCTACACTTACTCCCCTGCAGGTGACAGTTGACAGGACTCCCTTATTGTACCAGTTGCACAAGCATTCCCTCCTCACACTCTGCTTCTAGGGAAACTGGGAGTGAGACAAGCCGGTAAAAGAGAGTATGAAATATTCATGAAGAAAACCACATGCTTACGAAGAGGCCAGGTGTACAAGGAAGCAGTATCATTGCCGATTCCACCTGGAAGGAGAATTCGGAGCAGTGTGCTCAGTGAAAGGTGGGACAAAGTGGCAGGAGGCCAACTGAGCTGCTGTTAAAATGCAGAAACAAGGGGAAGAAAAATATTTGCTTGGACAGGTGAAAGAGACAGAACTTAGGGAGAGACCACTAACTCTGACCCAGGGGAGAATCAAAGGTAACTCTTCAGAGTTGTATTTTGTTTCCTTAAAAGGCAAAAGTATTTCTTTAGTATACCTGTCAATGTTAAACCACAAAGTCTCTCAAACGCACACACTCTCAAAACAGACTGACAGTATGAACACAAGAACTGCTCAGAAACACGAAGAGCATTACAATGAACAAGTCTCTAAAAGTCTTCCTCTTACTGTGGGCCCCTGCGTACCTGCATGCAGAAATGTGAAGGTCAGATTAAGTATATCTCTGAATGTTTACATCCACTTGGTTTTGTAAAGCTGCTTTATTAGATTTTATATTAAGTAGCTTAAAAGAATCTTTATTAGAGTCAGTAGCAGATTGCTTAAATTGGAAATGCATCCGAATAAGGGTAACATCTGGTTTTCATCTGTTCTTACGGGGCCCCAGAGTGTTTTCAATAGAAAATAAGATACTGGGTCCTGGGTCATAAAACAAGGAGCACAATGTGAACACAAGCAGACTGGTATGGGGGGTGGGGGGTGCATGGCCTAAGAAAACAGCGTATGCCCTTACGTAAACTTTCCATTTTAGAATGTGAAGGGCTGCCCATCACCATATTTGTTTTGTTTCGTTGATATCTCAGACAAGTTAAGCTTCTTGACCTCTTTGTTCCCTTTCAAAACTTACACTTGATAAAAATATCTATAAATAAAAATTACTACTTTTATTTGAGTAGTAACAACTTTGTGTTACATGTCTCAACAGAACAGAAGGATATTACTGACATGACTCTTTTTATGCAATACATTTCTTTCTCATTGACTTTTTTATGCATTAAAATATACAGCTAATAGCTATCGAAATTTAAAGTACACATAGCCATGAACGTAGCAGTCTCACTGAAAACAATTTTCTCACCACCACTAAAAATTTTTAAAAAAAAGGAGAACTAAAGAGGGGAATGGTTACAAAACAGATTTGTCAGTCTAAGTAGGTCTAAGTTTGTGGGGAAAAAAACGTTTGGTTTTCAGACCAAATTGATACTCATCAAGGCAATAAATATGATGCTCGCTGTATTAATTTTCAAATACCAGCCCCTGGAACAGTAATAGCAACCGCTCCAACAGTAGTGGCCTGAAGGGAACAGCATTTCCACAGGGCTTTCCACAGGACACCAGTCACAGGAGAGGCTCCAAGAACAAAGACATTTGGGAGACTGCACAGATTTGGTTCCCCTATTTAAGATTCATGGAATGCATGACAAGCTATGGAAGACTATGAGATGTTCTAGCTGAGAAATGCTGTTTCCCAATGTAATAGGATACAAAATTTTTACAACCATCAAGACTTGTTAAACCCCTCCGTAACTAGGAGATGCCTGGTCACGCTACCTTCCTTAGAAAGCCACAGGTTCAGAGCTATCATCCAGTCACCCTCTCATCCCCTCAGCCCCAAGATACTACAATGATGCTAACTTCTTAATTTAAAATAACCATGGGGAACTTAACCAAATACAGCTACCTGGGAGGCTGTGGCAGGAGGGTCAAGATATGCCAACACCCTGTCAAAAATCCCTCTCTCTCTCTCTCTCTTTCTCCTTCTTTCTCTATCTATCCATTCATGTGTCGTCTTTCACTCTTTCTCACTCTCTCTCTTTCTCTCATTAAAAAAAAAAAAATCCAGCCTTCAAATGAATATATTAAAAATGATTTTTCTGGGAACCAGCAGTTAGCGTAATGGCTATGTTGCTGGACTCCCACGTCGTCGACCACGGTTCACATCCTGGACATGGTGGCTTAAAACTCACGCCGGGCACGTGTGCGTGCGTGCCCAAGATCCCGAGAGGAGAATGGAGGAGAAGGGATTGTGGCGTGACCATCCCCCCTGGGGGGTGATTTCTCGCTTTCTGTCTCTATGTCTCTGTCTGTCTGGCGAGCGCACGTGCCCTATAGCGAAAACCTCTCAAAAAAAAAAAAATTATTTTTCTACTCAGGAAAAATACAAAGAAAGCCAAACCACGCCCTAGGAGAATACCCTCTAAGAGATGGCTCAAAATATGAAGGACAAGAATGCTACCCTATGATACAAATTCTTGACCTAGGAGGCAGCAGGTGGCATGGTGAGTGGATAAAGACACTAGACTCCCACTTGGCTGACCTCGGTTCAAGTCCCAGACCTGGTGGCTTGCTTTCTTCTGGTGGCTTGCTTTCTTACTTTCTCTCTTTCTCTGTATCTCTCTGGTCAAATTGAAATAATAATAGTAATAAAAATAAATGACATTAAATAAAAAGTAATTCTTAAAAAAAAAATCCTTGGCCTGCACTCCATTGAGAAATTTCAGGAATTCTCAAAGTCTATGAAACTAAACACATCATTTCTGTGAGTATGTAAACATGTGCCTTTTTACAGGGAAATAACCCCCCGCTTTCAGCAATTCTCGTAACTGCTCAATTATCCCACTTAAATACCATGACATTTTTTATTTAACTACCTAAAACAATGGTCGTAGAAACTGCTTCTTAGTTAACACCATGAATCAGACACAAGAACACACACTCATCAGTTGTTCTCTCTGTCAGAGCCAAAGAAAACGCAATTTACCTTTGCAGAGTCATATTCAGGGAGCCAGTACAGCCCTTAATCTTGTTCTGGGCTTCCAGATGAGTCATTCCATTGGCACTCATCCCATCAATGCTGACGACCACATCGCCTATTCTTACGTTTGCCTGGGATGCTTTGCCACCATCTTTGAGCTGTAAGAAATATATTTTGTTATGAATGTCAGCCTTTAAAAAATAAAGAATAATAAACACAGACAAAATTATACTTTTATCTATACCAAAAGAACAGAATATGAATATGCTATTAATATAACACAATTAGCATGCTTAATTGTGAAGTCAAAATCAGATTTCTTTTTTTTTTTTAGTTTGCCAGAGGGTGAATGCATTTATAGGGGTGTGTACAGGGGTGAGAAGGCACCTCCCATGGGGGGTGGTCACACCACAATCCTCTCACCTCCATTTCTCCCTTCTTTAACTTCTTTCGGGAATTTTGAGCATGCAAGCACACACACCTGGCATGTTTTTCGAGCCGCCAGGGCCACGATTTGAACTGTGCAGAGGACATGTGGGATCCAGTTGCCTGAATCGCCAAGTCACCAGATGGCCCCACATTTACTTTCTGAAGTTCTTATTTGCTCTATAAAAACTGAAATAACTTTCTAAGAAAGGCTTCCTGATAAGCTCTCCATTTTGTTTTTGTGTGGTTCTTATGAATGAGGAAGTGAAGTAGCCAAGAAAACTTTTAGCAGAAGAAAAAGAATATAATCTAAAAAGGTTTGTTTGCTTTTTTTAAAATTTTGCCAGAGGGCACATATACTCCCTAGAGACAGAGAAATGGAGAAAGGAAGAGACAGCACTCCCCATGGGCATGGCCACTGCAATCCATTCTCCATTTCTCCTTACAGGGCCTTGGGCATACACGCACACTCTCCCACCCAGCATCTGGCTCAAACCATTGGGTGCAGGACTCAAACTGCAAAGCTGGCCATATGGAATCCAGCTGCCTAACCACCATGCTGCAAGCTGGCCCTGAAGAGGGTTTTTATACTCTACTGGAAATAATTTTCTAAAACTCTTTAAACAGTTGTATTTTTTGTTTGAGCACAAAAGTTATACAGAAGGAGGATCCACTGAACAATCCTTCCTGTTGAGTTCAATTTATATTCAGCTTTTGGGACTGAATTCTTTCAGATCACAGGCCCAAATATCTGTCAGAGTGGGTGTGCTTCCTGCTCCGAACTTTTAGGAGGGGAAGGACACGCGTATCTGAGACCGCCAGACATTTCTGTGTACACAGCCCTTAATCCCCAATCTTTCTTCCTCTGTGCAACAAAATTTTCTGTGTGTTTGTATCATTTGCTTTTATCTCCTCCAAATTTCATGTGTATATATTTCATTACTCTAAATAAATCAAATATAAAATTATAATAAAATGGAAAATGATGCAATCTAGAAACACAAAACAAGTCCAAATGGAAAGCAACCATTCTAATCCCAGTGACAAGCTCAGCGTTCAGTAAGTACAAGCAGAGCACTTTGAATACGGGGCTGTTGGAACAAGGGTGATCCTAAACCTAAAAAAGAAACAAACTATCTATAATAGTATTCCTTTAGTACTTGAAACTAAAGATTTTATACAGAGTTTCGGTTTGGAATGATGAAAAGCTGTTGACTGCACAACACTGTGAACTATTCAGCTAGTGCAACTGAATTGCACACCGAAGAATGATCAAAATTATTAACTTCTTTTTTCTGAGAGAGAGATTTTTAATATAGGGCACATGCACTCAACAGAGTGACAGAGAAAGACAGAAAGATGGAAAGCAAGAAATCACCCCAGGTGGGTGGCCACTCCATAATCCCTTCTCCTTTGTTCTCCTCCTGGAATCTTGGGCACACGTGCACACATGCATGCACACACCCGGCATGAGTTTGAAGCCACCGGGTCCAGGACTCAATCCACGGTTAGCCATGTGGGAGTCCTGTGACATAACCGCTATGCCATCTGCTAGTTCCAACCTCTTTTCTTAAAGTTTATTTCCTTCCTATGTGTGTGGAGGAGGAGACACACACACACAGAGACAGGTATCCTTCACAGGATTCTGCCACACCACTGATCATGCCCTCAACCTCCCAGTCAGCCAGGATCCAGGCACAGTGTGTGTTCAGCTCCACCTGGGATCCAAACCCAGGTATACCACGTGGCTCCAGCACTGCATGGGGCGTCCTACCACTTGCACCACCATGGCTGGGCCTAAAACGGTTAGCCTTTATGTGACATGGCATATATTTCACCACAGTTTAAAATCTAACAACTTCAGGAAAGATTTTACTAGAATTACTTTCAGTTAAAAACAAAACACAAACACACACACACGCACACACAAACAAACTCTCAGCTCCATGAATAAGAACTGACTGTTAGGTTTCATAACTTGCAGGAAAAACAATAAACATAACAGACATTTTATGTTCTGTTAAGTTCTGATTACCATCAATTATCAAATTATTTCCTTAAGCATAATGACCAAAGAAAGCCAATTACAGTACATAAGAAAAAGTATTTCAATCTAAAATTCAAAAATATGTAAGATACTTTGCAAGAGAGGAGGAATCACATTCACATAGCTTTCATTAGAATATGCTGCTTTAATTGTTTTATTTTATGATGAGCTATTTTTATTCATCTCTTATGGAGCCTAATTTATAAACCTTATCAAAGACAGGTGTGTATAACAACTGGCTTCAGTGCCCTCTGCGGTTTAAGCATCTCCGAGGAGGCCTGGAATGCATCCCCCACAGACAGGAAGAACTCCTGTATTCCTACGGCTGCATCTATCCCCACTACCACTCCCTCAAGCTGTTCACTCATTAAAAAGATAAATGTTTCTTTTCTCTTAATTGGGTAACATGTAGCAGTATTATGAATTATAAGCAGCCACAGAAAGACTACAAGGTCGTTCATTATTCACGTGGCTCATTTTTTATGTTTGTGCGAGTCCAAAGAGCTGACATGTGTCTGGAGCAGTCATAACTTTCTGTCTTCATTATATTTATACATACTATATGGCAGCTGTAAGTGTGCATTTCATAAATGCACAACATATAAGAAGGAAGCCGTCGTGGGAGGCTCGTGGGTCAAGCTCAGTATAAATCAAGCTAATCACAAGCAAATGCTTCTCCTTTGATCTTCGAATGCATTTTTCAGTACTGTTGTCCAGTTTTCCAAAGACTTAATTGCAGCTGTACGCTTCTTTTAAAACATTACTTCCTAGTCTACTTAAGTTGCAAACAGACCTGGCTGCACATGGTGGGACTACCTCCAGGTTCAATTCTGTTTACCGGTGCTGAAGTGAAGGTAACTCAGGACAACCATAAGCTCCTCGGGCCTTGCCTGAGCCCCCGTTACCTTAGGAAAGGATCACCTGTACGTGTATTAAAACTCTGCTGGAAAGATGCTGCGTTTTAAGTCTTTCAACAGTAATTATGGATTACAAGATATTTTCTCCTGAAAACTAAGTCCACAGCCAGCCAGTGGTGTGGTGGTTAAGGCAGCTGGATCCCACATGGCCGACTGCACGGTTCAATTCTGAGAGCTGGTAACTTGAAAAACTGTGCCGGATGCAGGTGCATGCATGTCCAAAATTCCAAAAGGAGAATGAAGGAAAAGGGATTGCAGCGTACCATCTCTCGGGGGGAAGGTGCTTTTCAACTTTCTCTCTCTCTCTCTCTCTCTCGCTCACTTGCTCGCTCTCGCTCTTACTCTCTCTCTCTGTAAAAAGCGCAGGTGCCCTATAGCAAAATTAAAAAAAAAAAAACAAGTCCAGTTTTCAGCAAGCAAATGGGAGAGAGACTGGGTGTGTTGGGGGGAGGGCATGCAGGGAAAACGTAAAAGAAAAGTGAATCAGAACCTTGGGTTTCCCCTATTTTACTTTGACTAGGAAACGGTCAAAGGTAAATTTCCATCAGTTATCTTAGGAAGGTGGCTTCTCTCACATGGTCTTTCATTGCCTTGAGAAGTAACGACCTGGAGAGTAATCAGTACTATTTACTGAGCACCAACACTAAGTAAGGGACGTTAGGGACCCTTCCTCACTCCTCCCTAACACATGGTAGTTTTAGCCTGTTTCACAGGTGGGACAACACAGCTGCGAAACTGTTAAATGGTCAACCCACATCCACACGGCAATGACAACACAGCCCAGAGCATGGACCTTGATCAGCAAACTCAGTTCTACTCACGCCCTACCGTTTACTAGGTATGTGACCTGTATTTGTCTGGCTTGCCTAAGCCCTAGCTATCTCTCTTTGAAAACGGGAGCTACGATTCCACACGCCTCACAAGGCTGCTGAGCAAGTTTACTGAGACACCAGCACCACACACACTGCAAAATGCACAGGGAATATGCACTCTTACTGTTCCTTATTACCCTATGCCACAAATTCACAGAGGCTGCAAGCCTATGTCAAGGACTTACAAAGTAGAGAAGTCAAATTTGCAAACTGGCTAGACGACTCCTGCTCTTCCCCTTCCTTCCTTCCTTCCTTTTCTTCTTCCTTCTTTCCTTCTCTTCCGTCTGCTTGTTCAAGCCAAATGTTCCCTCCACTCAGTGACAGGTCAGGATATCCCACTGATCAGAACCCTAACTCACTGAGTTCCCTTCACTGCTTGACACCATCCATGGCTGCGTTCTCCAATCTCCATTCCCCAGGAGGGTGAACTCATGTCACCATTTCCCAGGAGAGGTTGGTATTGCCACTGTAACCAAGAGGTGAAAGGATAAGAATCCGTAAGGTGATGCTGGTAAAGAAGCTTTGAGTCAGGGGTCAGAGAAGGACAGAAACGAGAGCAGACAAGAGGACACATAGGGGAAACAGGAGAGAGAAAAGGGAACCAAGACTGTGAGGGGAGAAAGGTCGTCGTGAGATACCAGTTTTAGAAAGCTAGATCCAGGCCTTGTCTCTGGGTGTGCTGTACATCCGTATATGCATGCACAAAATATTTAATTAAGCAGAACAATAAAATAATCATAAATTATAGATCATTTATATTTTGATTCACATTAGTAAAATAAAATACGACTGTAATTAGTCACTATGCTTTTGAGATAATTTTCTCACTGTAATACTTATGTGTGTCATTAAAGATGCCATGTATTTATTGTTTACAAAATTTGTAACTAAAATTC